ACCACTTCTGCCGATTCCTTCAAGTACTGGGTTCCGTACGACGACAGCAAGAGCAGACGTTCCCGAGGTATTTTATCCTACCAATGCCGAGTCTGCCAAGGGAACCATCCGCTCCGGAAATGCCAACAGTTCCTCAAACTCTGCGCTGAGAAGAGGCTCCGAGCGGTTCTCGACCACCGCTATTGTTCGAACTGTTTGGCCCACGAACATTCCGAGGGAACCTGCCGCAGCGGTGACCGATGCAAGACGTGCAATCAGCACCACCACACTCTCCTGCATCCGCATGACCGTCCAGAGCATCCACTCCGCTCGCAGCATCGGTCACCCCCAAACTTCTAGTTCGCATTTACTTGACCATCACTCATCTCCATGTCATCTTCTTTCATCCAGATCACATACGAGGGCTTCACTTCCACACACCGCGATCGCTCTGGAAGGCAGACGTACTCGAGGTTCTTAGTCCTACCATTGCCGAGTCTGCCAACGTTCGGCCGCTACGGAAAGTTCGACGTCTTCTAGCGCACAGTGATGCGTCCTGGTCACGGCATTCAACGCCTCCGCCTTGTTCAGCAAGCTCCTTGCGACAACCTCCCGCCTCTCCATGGCAATCATCCGCTTCTCCTTGGCACTCATCCGTCCTTCATCGCTCCTCGTCGCTCCAGCATCAACGATCTACGCGGCGCTCTGACGCCCCTCCATACCATCTTCCTGTACGGGTTTATTGCAACCCGAGTGATTGCAAGGGGGGGGGAGAATGTTTACGCCAGGAGGCCCCTGCTCCCCCTCTGGCCACCGAGCGTCCAAAAGCTTAAGCGCTCCCAGCTTAGCAACGCTCGCCCGCTCTCCGCTCCTCGGTATTACCGATCGCACGCTCCCGTGTTCCCGATCGTCGCTCGCTTCTAGGGACGGCTACGCCGCTCTAGTTCACTGTTCTCCCGCTCTCCCGCTCTCGCGCCGTTAAGCTGGGCTTCTCGGCCGGCAGCGGGCCCTTAGGCTAAGCTAAGTTCAGTACCGAATCGACTGCGAAAATATATGTATGCTACGGGCACTCCGCCGATGTCATTTTTCGACCCCCGAATTTTCTGCGTTTTTCTACTTCGTGGGATAAACTTTTATTGATCCTTTTGCGGAGGATTTACCAGCCACCCCACTCCTAAACATAGATATTGAAGATTTCATTGCGTTTATACAAGTATTAGCATCCAAAGAAAAACTGTGAAACAGATACACGTATTTAGTAAAAGCGTCGATTTGTACAATAATGTATTCCTTACGATCACTTTTTCCGCTCAATTTTCCGGATATATCTATGTGAACGGTGTGCCAAGGAATGCTTATTTTTGGAATTGGGTGTAATTCGATTTGGGGTTTTCCTGACGTACCCTTAGAGACTCTGCATGTGATACAGTTTTCCACAAATCTTCGAACATATTTTGCCATTCCAGAAAACCAGTAATGATCATACACCTTATCTAGCGTTTTTTCCCATCCTAGATGCATGATCGACTCATGTACTTGATTAATAACTGACCAGCGGAACGTACGAGGGACAACAGGTAAACAACGTGTTCTTGAATTCCTCTGAATTTTTCTATACAAAACATTTGACCTAATTTCATAAGTGGCAACTAATGCCAGTGGTAAGTCATCATTCTTCAACTTAGTTACAATTTCTGATATTTCTGGGTCCTTTTGTTGTTCCACCAGAATCCAATTTTCCGATATTTCTGTTAAATCAATTCGCTTCTCCTCTATTTTACTTGGTACTGACTTATTCTTTTGACACACCGGATTCCTAGATAGAAAGTCTACGTGTGCCATGCGTTTACCCTCTCTGTATTCAATTTCAAATTCAAATGCTTGTAAAAACTCCCACCAACGATAAACCCTAGGTGACAATTCGACTTTGTTTCGGGAAGATTTGATTGCATTACAATCTGTAAAAATCACGAATTTTCTCCCATGCAAATAGTGACGAAAATGTTTTACAGCATTCACAACCGTTAACGTTTCCAATTCATAAGATGTGTATCTAGACTCACAGGAGCTAGTTGCTCTGCTATAATATTCGACTACATTAGGCCTAGAATTTATGCGATGCAAAAGGATAGCACCATAACCGATAGAGCTGGCGTCGGTATGTAGTTCTATCGGAAACTGTGGATCAAAAATAATCAAAACAGGCTTGTTTGTTAATACACCGATGATTTTACCGCGAATTTCTTCATGCTGTGTTTGCCAGTCAAAACTAGTCTTTTCGGATGTCAGAAAATATAAAGGCTTCATCAGTTGTGAAAACCCCGGAATAAACTGACGAAAATATGACGCTAACCCTATGAATTGTCTTAAAGTAGTAACTGACTTCGGCGGAGGCAACGCCATTAGCGATTCTATTTTGTTTGAGTTTGGACGTATCTCTCCCACTTTTATCTCATACCCAAGATAGTGAACTGTAGTTCTCAAGAAAAAGCACTTTGAAATATTGAATGAAAATCCTGCCTTCACTAAAATGTCTAAAACGAGTTTCAACCGCTCGAATGCTTCTTCCTTTGTTTCTGCCACAATTAGTATATCGTCCATATAAACTATTACAAACGAATGAGCAAGGCTACCTAGTGCCTTCAACACAGCTCTTTGAAACACTGCAGGTGCGTTTTTTAATCCGAAGGGCATCGAAAGAAATTCGTACTGCCCATCAGGAGTAACAAAAGCAGTATAAACAATTGATTCAGGGTGCATTGAAATCTGATAATACCCGCTAGCCATGTCAAGAGAAGTGAAATATTTGGCTCCCCTAAGTCTAGATATTTGGTCTGATATCAACGGTAATGGGAACTTATCTGCAACTGTATTTTTATTTAACTCCCTATAATCAACACAGAGTCTAGCTGAACCGTTCTTCTTCTTTACCAATAATGCAGGACTAGCAAATGGCGAACTACTAGGCCTGATGACTTTAGCTTCAATTAATTCATTAATTTTAGCGCGTACTAACTCCCTTTCACTTGGACTAAATCTGTATGGTCGCCTTTGCACAGTCTTAGTCGATTCAATCAAACGAATTTGCATTTCCCCAGTATTCACACGCGTTTGCGGGGTGCCTTCGGTAAAAGATTTTGAGTGTTGCTTTAGTAATGATATTAAACTTTCTTTTTCTTTTCCGTCTATATCAGTTTCAATTTTATCAAAATTAGTGGGTTGAATAGTCTCACAAACGTTTACAATTTTAGTTTGAACAATCTTAAAATTATCGTAAGAAACTTCCACTAAAAATCCCTGAGCCAATACTTCTCTGCCAATTACAATATTATTTTTCATACACTCATCTGGTACTATATGAAACAAAACTGCCAAAGAATTACCATCAACCATGATGTTTGATTCGACTTGTGCGGTACTGCACGTATTGGCATTACCTATTCCCCTTAAAGAGACAACGTTATGAATTCTCTTACCAACTAGCTTATTAGAAACGCTTTCCTTAATTAATGAGCACTCAGCTCCCGAATCAAAGGTAATTGTAACCAACATGCTCGATTTAGGCTCTCCAACAACGCACAGCTCCACTTTTTTTTACGATTTCGCTCCCATTCCAGTATGCTGTACTCTTTTTTGACAATTAGTTGCGATGTGTCCCGGCTCCTGGCATCGGTAGCAAGTCACATTTGCCCTTCCATGACTCCGCTTGCAGTTCACGGCGATTGCTTACATGCGTTGTGTGTACCATTCGTTGCATACGCCGGTCGAAGTTAGCCATGTGACCAAGAACCAGCGCGATGAAAATTGGTTCAGAATTCAAATTACGAAGTTTTGTGCATAGTGATGTCACGCTGCGACTTGCATAAACAGGCAGACTCGCCGCTGCTTGGACGACTATTAAGAAAATTCAAGATGGCTGCGGCTGGCGTCTCCGATGTCTCGTATCGCTGCTCGAACAATTGCCGGAACTGTTGCCAAGTTATTCCTGGATAGCATATTTGAGACAACCATTGTGCCGCTCCGGCCTCCAACGCTTTGGTCAACGCTAATATGAGTGCGCTGTCATTCAGTGGTTTTGCTCGCAAAATGATGTCGACCGTAGCACACCACTGTGTGGCATCCACACCAGCAACGTCGGGATTATACTTTGGCAGGCAAATCTCACTCGTCGATTGTAACTCGCTCGCTGGCATCTATCTTCTTCACCAATTCCAGAAAGTTCAGATTTTGCTGCTGCAGCAACGCTAAGACATTCGTTGAAGAAGTTGGGTTAGGGCCGAATCCCACTTCTGATATCGGCGAACAGGTAATTTCTATAGGCACGTCGTCAATAATGTTCTCCTGTTGCCTCAACCGCTGTTGATTCATACCAAGCTCTGGCTGATGCGGTGAGTCTTCGCTGCCAATGTTGCTTTCCATATCTTCTTATAATCCACACACGTGTCACAACCTCGCTGCATCAAAGCCAGAGAAAGAAGAAAGTATTCAAAAGCGAGTGATCAAACCTAGCAACGCAAACGAAGCCACACCAGACTCAGTTTTCTAACTGAGTCCCCATACCACCAGAACTAGTACCTATTACAAGATTAGTAACCAGCTCATCCCATGGTCACACCAGAGAAAGCCTTTCTCTCCGACATATATATATATATATGGCACATGAACTTCCAATCCGCTGCACTGCAGAAATGGCTAATGGTTCATTTCCTCCGGCTTTTTGGGCAAAAGGAATTAAACCGTAGTCTTTGCTAGACACTGCATTATCGCGGACGGAGCAAGCAGTGATGCCGGTTTAATACTGTTTCCATTACCCAGCCTACGCCAGCTCCTATTACATTAAGTATCTAAAGAAATCCAGAAATGCAAAATTACCATTATTTTCCTTCAGATTCCTTCCCATCTAAAAAGTAGCATTTTGACACAAAACAAGAACTTACAAATTAATTAAACGATCGATTGGTTATAAATGGTAAATATTTTCCTCTGGGTAAAAAAGACAGATAAATGTATGTATATATATATATATATATATCTATATATATATTTTTTTTTTTATTATTATTTAATTGTGCTAAATAAAAGTGATTTAACTCGACAGACAGTTAGGCACGATCTAAATAAATTTACTTTAACTATTACCTTCGATTTTTATGAGATTTGTTGAGTTTTCGTCGCTTTAAAATCATATCATACAGAGCGTCTAAGCCTTCTTGAAGGCCTTCGCCGGTTATGGCGCAAGTTGGTTGTATATACCATCCTCGAAATGTTGTATTAGAAGCTGTCTTATTATAATTATCTTGCTTAATATTTTGAAAGCATTTTTTTGTGCTTTCTTCTCCAGAATCTTTATACTTATGCGTATCGTATTGTAAAAATGCAGATGTGTTTTTTTCATCACTTTGATCGCTTAGATTAGGTTTTATGTGAACTGATAATGAACTTTCGGTAATACTTTGGTTTGACACGCTGCCGTTGATCAAGTTACTATTGCTTGATGATGAGCTACAACTATTTAACACAGATTTATTCGGAGGTGTTGCATAATTGTGAAGCTCGTTAAGGCCTAAAAGTTTTTCCAGCTCTTTGGCTCCGCATGCATTGGGCAGGTCTTGCTTATTTGCCAGTATTAGTACGGGTACACCCTTTAAATAAACGAACAATTTAGTTTTAAGCGTAATTTTTTTCTGTTCCATATTTTGAAATAGGGGAGGGGCAAATTTGATTTTGTGCTTCCTTTAATTCCGATCTTACATATGACATTTTTTGTATAAGCCAACAGAAATGGACAACTGTACGAATACCTGAAAACTATTCGGGACAGACTAAATTATTCTTTAAATTGGTCAAAACACCTCATAAAATAGGAGCGCTAAAATAGTACGCGACATATCGACGCATTTCCGCGAAAGTCGCTTTTTTTCGAAATTGAGATTTTAATGCAAAATTGTTAGGCACCTAATGGCTTACTACCATGTGAAATATTATAACTGAAATCCCTATAGTTTCGATAAAAATTAAGTTTCAATTTTATCGTTTGTTCAGTGCTTCCTAAGAGATCAAAATGCGTCGATATGATAGATTGCTGCTGGCGTATATCGATGGATGAAATCTCGAACAAAATAATCAAAGAGAAAAATGTAAACAAAGGACATTTCATTTATATGTCATGAATTCAGTAGAATCCTTAGTTATACTTTAATTTACTTAATTACTTATTATTTATAGATTTATTTATTTTATGGACGAAATATATTTAACAACCCGCTTTTTAAAAAACACGATGCGCGACAAAGGGTTAAAAAATAATTTTTTGGTGACATTCAAGAATGTCACGAATGGTTTTGAATACAGACTACTATTACTGAACATGCTGAACAGCCAATGTTTCATACGTACATATGTACAAAAATATGGACAAATATAAATAAAGATTCGTTCTAACTATATTATAAGCTTTTTAAAGCCCTTCCTTGATTCTTGTTGGGTGGTTCAAAACTATTTAAATTGAGTACAATTTATTTTAATCCGATACCTGATTATCTGGACATTTTGCTGTTCGCATTAATTCCATTTTTGCCTCTTCCATTCGCTCCGCGTCAACTGAATCGATAACAAACAAAATGCCATCAGTGCAGCTAAAAACACAGTTAAAACTTTAGAATGATATTTATATATATTATTTCGTTTTGTATGTACCGCGTGTAACTCCGCCAAAGTGGTCTCAGCTTTTCTTGTCCTCCAACATCCCAAACAAGAAAATGTACTCCTTTTGCTTTGCCAATAGTACCTTGAACCTTTTATAGAATTGGTAAATGTGTAACGTAATCATTAAACCAATGTTTAAGTCAATAAGAACCTTTTCGCAATTGAAGCCAATGGTAGGTACTGTATTTAAATACTGATCAAACTTGAGCCTATATAGTGCTGTTGTTTTTCCAGCAGAATCCAAGCCTAACATGACTACATGGAGAGTTCCCTTTAAATAAAAAATTGTATCTCTCTTGTTTCTTGTATATACAATTTTAAAGATTTCATTGGAATTACCTGCGATGGCAAGGCGTCCAATATATTTCCATTTTTCACCAAAGGCTTTACCATTGTAGCCCCCATCCTAAATATTATTTTTTACATTACTTCTACTAAATTGTTTTTTTTTTTCTTCTATAAAATCAGTATGACTGTGGTTGGTTTGTTTAAATATACCTTGTAAAAACATCGATATAGCATCTATGATTTTCTGGAAACATCGATTACCATAACTTGGAGAGAGTAAACCGCGTAGTAAGAGAAAACTAATACTGTCTTCCCACACAGCGCATTTGTGAGGAACGTTTGGGATTTTTCACAAATGTGAAACTCGTGTTCCCACACAACATTAAAGCGCATTTAGCATCCGAACAGCTGATCGATCAGCTGTGGCTCATGAAAACGTAAGCAAAGGCTGTCGAATTGGCAGTTGCAAATTTGAAATGGAGCATTTACCAACTATTTTGGCTGTTGTACAACAGCAAAAGGCACAGATTGCGTCAGAATTTATCCGCAATAAATTTAAATGAATTAAATGACAAGGAATTTTAGCTTTTCTAATGATTTTTCTCTAACAAAGAGCAAATTCCCCGAAGAGTGTCTATAGGTGGTATACGCATCCAAAATCTTTAATATAAGGTTAATATAAGGCGGTTTATATTAAATAGTAACAATTGGGGACATATTGGGGCAAGAATATACAGAAAAAACGCCAAGAACTATTTTGGGCATGCTTGTAGCTTTGGCGCCACGTTTTAAATTCCATATCTCATTTGTTCCTCGCCAAATTGTTTACATTTTCGTGGTGAATGGTCAAATTAAGAAGAAGAATCAGAGTTGCACCGAAGAACTATCGCCTAACTATCGCCAAACAAACCGTGGTTAGATTTTAATGCTGAACTAACGCCGGCCCATTTGGGAAAATGCGGAACTGCAAAACCTTATGGAGCATTTGTTTAACGGATGCTAAATGCGCTTTAATGTTGTGTGGGAAGACCCTATAAAATTCCTTGTCATTTAATTCATTTAAATTTAGGGCGGATAAATTCTGACGCAATCTGTGCTTTTGCGGTTGTACAACAGCCAAAATAGTTGGTAAATGCTCCATTTCAAATTTGAAACAGCCAATTCGACAGCCTTTGTTTACGTTTTCATGAGCCACAGCTGATCGATCAGCTGTTCGAAAGCGGATGCGCTTTAACGCAGCTCTGTGGGAACACGAGTTTCACTTTTTTAAAAATCCCAATCGTTCCGCACAAATGCGCCGTGTGGGAAGACAGTATAATCAATAACCATACAACATATAGACTGGTCATTTCATACAACGAAAATGGACACAAAAATTTCTTAGCGAGCGGTCCCATGTTAACTGTTTGCTGTTAGCGACAGACCGTCTGTTAGATTTTAGCTGTTAGCGACCCGTCCCATGTTAGCTGTCAGCTGTTAGCGTCAGGCCTTTACATGTATGCGTGTTCATGCATTCACGTACACGGGTGCATGTGTGCGATCGTTTCATTTCGGCCCAGCAAGAATATTTGGTCTTTTGCTACTTTTCGCGCCAGGTCCCTAACAATATGGGCATATTCTCTATTGGGTTAATGATACAAATAAGAATGTTATATGTTATAATACATTTCTTAATGTTTCAGCATACATTTCATATTTGTCTACAATTCAAATCAGTGGCAGCAGTGAAGTGTGTTGCATATATGTACATATATATTCGAATGAATAAAATTTCACCTACTGAGATAGGAACAGGGCATATTGCAGTCGGTGTCACTGTAAACAGAGACGGGCACGAGATCTAACGGTTTGGGTAGCAGCTCGGCCAAAAAAAAAAAAAAACAACAACAACAACCCCCAGCGTCTCGACGCGTTGCAGCACACAGAATGTGCAAGCGATCGCGAGCACCGACTGCAATATGCCCTGTTCCTATCTCAGTAGATGGATTGTTAGTCATTCGAATACATATGTACATATATGCAACACATTTCACTGCTGCCACTGATTTGAATTGTAAACAAATATGAAATGTATGCTGAAACATTAAGAAATGTATTATAACATATAACATTCTTATTTTTATCATTAACCCAATAGCGAATATGTCCATATTGTTAGGGTACCTAGCGCGAAAAGTAGCAAAAGACCAAATATTCTTGCTGGGCCGAAATGAAACGATCGCACACATGCACCCGTGTACGTGAATGCATGAACACGCATACATGTAAAGGCCTGACGCTAACAGCTGACAGCTAACATGGGACGGGTCGCTAACAGCTAAAATCTAACAGACGGTCTGTCACTAACAGCAAACAGTTAACATGGGACCGTTCGCTAAGAAATTTTTGTGTCCATTTTCGTTGTATGAAATGACCAGTCTATATGTTGTATGGTTAGTGGTATAATGCAGTTTTCAATGATGGCTTTAATTAGCCACTTCATTAGAGCCTTGAAAGAGACAACTATATACATACATCAGTTATTTTTCGTAATCCAGTAACCTTTAAAATAATTTTTTAACTACTAATACCTACAAATTTTATAATTGCTATCAAAGAAAATTTATTTAAATTAAACATTTTCCTTTTCCTTATTTCCCAATATTTTTTCAGTGAGAAACAAGCATTTGCAACAAGCCATTGAAATTCCCATGGCAAGACCATTTTGAGTTTCGACCTTTAAGCCTAGTACTCTGACGACGAAAATCCACTGTAATACTGTCTTCCCACACAGCGCATTTGTGAGGAACGTTTGGGATTTTTCACAAATGTGAAACTCGTGTTCCCACACAACATTAAAGCGCATTTAGCATCCGAACAGCTGATCGATCAGCTGTGGCTCATGAAAACGTAAACAAAGGCTGTCGAATTGGCAGTTGCAAATTTGAAATGGAGCATTTACCAACTATTTTGGCTGTTGTACAACCGCAAAAGCACAGATTGCGTCAGAATTTATCCGCAATAAATTTAAATGAATTAAACGACAAGGAATTTTAGCTTTTCTAATGATTTTTCTCTAACAAAGAGCAAATTCCCCGAAGAGTGTCTATAGGTGGTATAGGCATCCAAAATCATTAAAATAAGGTAGAGGTAGGCGGTTTATATTAAATAGTAACAATTGGGGACATATTGGGGAAAGAATATACAGAAAAAACGCCAACATCTACTTTGGGCATGCTTGTAGCTTTGGCGCCACATTTTAAATTCCATATCTCATTTGTTTCTCGCCAAGTGTGTATACACTTTCGTAGTGATGGTCAAATTTTCAGAGTTGCACCGAAGAACTATCGCCTAACTATCGCTAAACAAACCGTGGTTAGATTTTAATGCTGAACTAACGCCGGCCCATTTGGGAAAATTCGGAACGGCAAAACCTTATGGAGCATTTGTTCAACGGATGCTAAATGCGCTTTAATGTTGTGTGGGAAGACCCTATAACATGTGATAGCAGAATAGCTGTATATTTTGCTCGGTAGCCAGTGCGACCAAAAAAATAAAGGAAAAGCCATGAAGCGCCATGAAAATGTCCCTTTCATGGCGTTTAATACTGTCTTCCCACACAACGCATTTGTGAGGAATGTTTATGATTTTTAAAAGCGCATTCACCGTCCGAACAGCTGATCGATCAGCTGTGGCTCATGAAAAATTAAACAAAGGCTGTCAAATTAGCTTTTGCAAAATTAAAATGGAGCATTTACCAACTGTTTTGGCTGTTGTACAAAAGCAAAAGAACGGATTGCGTCAGATTTTATCCGCACTAACTTAAAATTAATTAGATGACGAGGAATTTTAGTTTTTCTAATGATTTTTCTCTAACAAAGAGCAAATTTTCCGAAGTGTGTCTATAGGTGGTATAGGCATCCCAAATCCTTCAAATAAGGTAGAGGCAGGCGGTTTATATTAAATAGTAACAATTGGGTACATATTGGGGCAAGAATATACAAAAAAAACGCCAACTATTTTGGGCATGCTTGTAGCTTTGGCGCCAAGTGTGTATACACTTTCGTAGTGATGGTAAAATTTTCAGAGTTGCACCGAAAGACTATCGCCTAGCTATCGCCAAACAAACCGTGGTTAGATTTTAATGTGTTCTAACGGCGGTCCATTTAGGAAAATTCAGAACGTCAAAACCTTATAGACTGTTTGTTTAACGGACGGTGAATGCGCTTTGACGGTGTGTGGGAAGACCCTATAAGGCTTTTTTTTGGTCACACCGGACAGCTGTTTGTAAAAAAATTTGTTAATAAATATGGCATTTAAAAGCCCTGGTTAAATCCCATATTATGGGCTTCCCCTTGACAGCCCTTGTCAATGCCACTTTTAATACTAATATTATAATTTCAGTCAGAAGTTTGCAACGCAGTGAAGGAGACGTTTCCGACCCTATAAAGTATATATATTATTGATCACCATCAACAGTCGAGTCGATCTAGCCATGTCCGTCTGTCCGTTTCTACGCAAACTAGTCCCTCAGTTTTAAAGCTATCTGAATGAAACTTTGCATATAGTCTTCTATATACTCTCACTGCTATATATGTCGGAACGGGCCGGATCGGACGACTATATCATATAGCTGCCATACAAATGTTCGATAAATTTTTTAGAAAAAAATTATAACTTGGCTGTTTTTCAATAATATTTTATCATTTTTGAGATAAACTCTGTTTAGTGTCTGTTTTCGGCATTATAATTTATAATATAATAAGAAATGAAGCTAACTTCGGCACGCCGAAGTTTGTATACCCTTGCAGATTGGTTTCGATGTTTATATTATAGATTTAAATGCTGAATTATAATGCCGAGACACTAAACAGAGTTTATCTCAAAAATGATAAAATATTATTGAAAAACAGCAAAGTTATAATTTTTTTTCGAAAAATATATCAAACATTTGTATGGCAGCTATATGATATAGTCGTCCGATCCGGCCCGTTCCGACATATATAGCAGTCAGAGCATATAGAAGACTATATGCAAAGTTTCATTCAGATAGCTTTAAAACTGAGGGACTAGTTTGCGTAGAAACAGACAGACAGACAGACAGACAGACAGACGGACAGACGGACATTGCTAGATCGACTCGGCTGTTGATGCTGGTCAAGAATATATATACTTTATAGGGTCGGAAACGTCTCCTTCACTGCGTTGCAAACTTCTGACTGAAATTATAACACCCTGCAAGGGTATAAATATGAAAACCAATCTGCAAGGGTATACAAACTTCGGCGTGCCGAAGTTAGCTTCCTTTCTTGTTTCTTTCTTTCTTTAGACAGCGGCCAAACTCCATATAAAAAAAACGGCGTTCTTCTTCTTCCTTTTTCGACACCGTGTTTTTTATATGGAGTTTGGCCGCTGTCTAAATTTAGACAGCGGATTTTCGTCCTTAGAGTACTAGTATAAATAAAAGTAATTATTGTTATTGCACGATATAGGCTATTCTGTTTACTCTCTTTATCTGACAACGTCATTCAATTTTCGCAGGTATAATTTTCGTCGTCAGAGTACCGGCAAAATCGACGAGTCGAAAAGGTCTTCTTCTTCCTTTTTTCACATTGTTTTTTATATGGAGTTTATCCGCTATAACAGCGGATTTTCGTCGTCAGAGTACTAGGCTTTAATTACAATTTTTTCAGAAGAGCAGTATTTTGTTAATGGTTCAAAACTGGTATATAGTATATTCTATGCAGACCTATATATTTTTGCGGCTAATGCATTGGCCAATGCTTTAAAATTGCTTTAAAAGTATCATACATTAGTCCCGCTCGCATTTGTGTAAAACCCTATGAAGCTGTCTTTAATGAAATATATGATAGAACTATTTAATTATAGATCTTACAAAATATGCAAGTTTTAATGCTTTCTCCAATGCATTAGTCGCAAAAAAATATAGATCTGCATAGAATATAAATAAATAATGGATATAAAACCGTAATTTGTTTAGATATATGTATAAATTATTAATCTCGAATTCAGTGGAATCTTTAGTTATTCTTCAATAATTACTATTTATATATGTATGAATAATTAATTGTGTACTTATTGATTATGTATTTGTATAGTGACAAGAATGCAGTGCACACTGCGCAGTGCTGCATTTGTGGCACTGGATGAAATAAATGAAACACCCGCCTTTTCAAGGAAAGGGGGCGCCACATTAAGCAAAAAATTATTTTGAGGTAACTTGCAAAAACTATTGTTTGGACCAAATTGAATATCCCGCCTTTTATGAGGAATAAGAACACGTGTCCATTATTTAGTTGTCTTGGCATTTGATTGTTGGCAGGAAGTTCGAATATAACGATTTGTTTCAGGACGATTATTTATACGATACTTGCCCACTGATTACTGATCCATCGCAGATCAGTAATCAGTGGTTCTGCTTAACGCATCCAATTCAAATAAAACAAAAAACAATGGATTTACACTTATTATTATTTATACTTGCAACGTAATGATTTCTTGTACGTATATACAAAAATACAAACTTTTTATTTATTTTATAATATTAAAGATGTACAATCTCCATACAATTTGAAAACTTAGGAAGTTGTTTGGGGCTTGAATTTTTCCGCTTGCTGCTCGTTTGAACTCATTTTTCTAAACTGCCAATTTCCCAGACCATCAAACTCCAAAATATGGGTGTGATATTTCCTTAAAATAGTAATTCATATTAAAAAGGTAAATAATAGGAAGATTTAAACTCTCACCAAAGGGTCGGCCTATGAGTTATTGTAAGCAGTGTAATGCCCATGCCTTTGGCTATTTCATAAATCGAACTTTCAACGTCAATTGATACGGCGCTTGTGCATTCATCAAGCAGAGCGTAACGTGGTCTAAAAAGAAAGGTAGGGTTCAAAAACATACTTATTATGTTGTAAATTTATTTTAAATATTTTATTTTATACTTATGGTAGAAGAGGCGAGCCACCGCCATTCGTTGTTTTTCCCCGCCCGATAATATATCCTTCCAATCACGTACAACGTCAAAGCTATCGCTGTAAATATAAAAACAGTACATTTTACCAAGTAACATGAAAGCTAACTTCGGAACCGACCGAAGTATATATACCCTTGCAGTTCAAAAACGGGCCTAATTTATTATTTTGAAGTATTTTAAAATCTAAATAAAATAAGATATAGTAGTCCGATTTTCATACAGAAATTCCAGACTATCAAAAAATGGCTATATCTCATAGTATAATAAAATATGTTGTAAGTCGGCAAAGTTATATTCATTGTTCTAAACATTTGCAGAATGTTCCTATAGCAGCTATAAGATATAGCGTCAGATTTTCATATAACAAAAAATGAAATTCTAGACTAATAAAAATGGCCATATCTCGAAATAAATTGTATATATATATGCTGAAAGACGGCAAAGTTCTTATTTTCTTTCAAAAGTTTTTTCGATCCTTCCTATTTAAGCTATAAGTTATTATCGATCGTTCCAGCCTTTTTCAACATATATATGTACATAGTTATGAAAATAGTCAGAAGACTATATGCAAAGTAAAAACGGACAGATGGGCATAGCAAGATCGACTCGAATGTACTTTATAGGATCTGAAATGACTCCTTCACTGAGTCGCAAACTTCTGAATAAAATTAGAATACCCTGCAAGAGTATAAAAATACTATAAAACTTTATACCGTTGGGCGATGTGTTCAAGGCTGACCAATTTTAAAATATGCCTCAGCTCGTCTTCTGTTATTTTTTTGCGTTTCATATCGTCGCGAGTATCGGGATATATAATTTGGTCGCATAAACTTCCTATAGACATATAGGGACGTTGCGGAATATAAAACATACAAGGAACATCTTCAACAGGACGAGGAATGTGCAATTCTCCAGCATAAATCGGCCAAAGTCCACTTAATATTCGGAATAAACTAGATTTTCCGCAACCATTTGGGCCAGTTATTAACAAATGAATACCGGGCTCAATGCACAATGTAAGTTTTGGTACTACTATATCACAGTTGGGTGTCACCACTGGCACTTCTCGAAGGCTTATCGACATATTCTTAGGATCATCCGTATAAATTATGCGGCCCTTTGCTATTGGTTTTCCATTACGAAACTCGATAATCCCGTTCGATTGATCGTCCGATTGCGCTACACTTGTTTTGCAATAAATTCCCTGTGACGTCTCCTCAAAAACATCCATCATGCCGGCGACGCGATATGTGTAGCCAGCTAGAGCAACAATTTCCTTATACGATGACATTAAACGCTCGATAGCATCGGCAGCGGAAATTAATAAATTTCTTGCCGTTGTTAAATATTGTGTGCGTTCACTGACACTCGATTCCGCATGAGCGGAATTGTCACGATCTGTCAACGGTCCGGCACTGGGACTGCTATTGCCTGTTAAAATTGGCAATGATACCATAATCATACCCGTGCCGGACCAAACATATTTCATAAAGAATTGTTCGAGCATTATAAACCAAAGTTTTTGATTAAATATTGTAGTCATTTGATTAACAAGACGATTGTAGGCCTGTCGTAACTGATGCATCTCAACCTATATATGCATATAAATTTAAAATAATTATATAATGAAATAGTAATTCATTACTTCTTTTTTCCCTGGGTAACTAATTACGCAAATGACTTTTCTATAAAACGGTTTTAAAAGAAAACTTACTCTATGACCTCCGTAAAACGCAATTTCTTCAGCATTGGTGATTATCCGGGAGTGAATATGTCTAAGATAGCCATATCGGTTAGCTTCCTCCGATACCAATTGGCCAAACTTTGGTGAAACGACTCGTAATATGTGTGCTGTCAATGCAATAACGCTGACTGACAAAGCAGGTCCTGTTAATACGTTAAAAAAAACGGTAAGGAATGGTTATGATTAATATATGAACAAAAATATTTAAATATATACCTGTTAATATATTGGCTTTCATTTTTCTTGATGACCTCATTAATGCTAATCCAATAAGCATTAGGTCGAAGCAAGGCTTGGTCAAGCTACTGTACAAATGAGCTACAGAACTGGCAAACACTGATATATCTTCCGTAAGTCTGCGTAGAGAAAGTTCAGTTAACTTTTATTTATTTCATTTCAATAAGAGAAATCAATCTTCGGAAGCCGAAGTTTTCATACCCTTGCCAAATTGCAAACAATTGGCTAATGTTATTCAAGTTAAAAAATAAAAATTAATTTTATATTGTTGAGGTAAATGTTGAACACTTTCTTGTCTTTTTTTAGGTAAAATTCTGTAATTCAGAAATCATTAAATGTATAAACAGGGTATTTCCTTAACGACTGAATAACTGAATTACTAAAAATATCGGAAGCGGAAAAAAGCTGTTCCAATACAAACTTCTGAAAATATCGGCGAAATATCGCGATATATCGCCGATATTTTGAGTACTTCAGTCGTGAAGGGAATGTCCATAGTATGAATAGGAAATGTAGAATTACGACTCACCTATGATCTGCATTTTCAATACGACCGTCCAAATTAGAAACTCGATAGTAATTTTGATTTTTGAAATATAATCGATAAGAGTGACGCACTAGTCGGGTTCTAAATGCCAAAGCTAGTTTACTCTCAAGAAAGCGTATCATTGAATTAACAAAAGTAGCTGGTATAGCAATACCAAACCATTTCAGCAACACTAATGCAAACTGCCTAATATCCTTTCGTACAATAAATTTAACAAGAGCGCCCTCCAGTGCTGCTACATAGATACTAAGAAAAGTTCGGGAAATTAGACAAAACGTGTGTACGCTCAATAAGCCAGTTTCATAGCACAACGGTTGTGGTATCATTATCTTGACCAGCATTCCCAGTTGTTTTAAAAACGCCTTGTTGAGTCCAGGCTCGATGGTAGTTTTTTTTTTTAGCTGCTGTGCAACTAATAATTTTTCTGCTTCCGCAAGCTGTAAATCCTCTTCAGAGCCATCGCCGTTTGTTTCCGTTGGTGTAAGAGCACCATTATTGTTGACTTTAGTTTTTGCCTTTTTAATGCTGCCGTGCTGCGAATTTTGAATTACGTAAGGAATGGTCACTTTAATCGTAAGAGCCACTATTGCACTAGTCACAAGAGCATAGCTAAAAGCGTGTTTAGTGAGACCATTTTGTTCACACGTCTCAGCAATACGGTCAACATATTTTGATAAAACGCTCATTATATATCAGTAAGTTTTCAGGTTTTAAATTTAATAACAATTTATTGCTAGAAATAGAAAAAAAATTGCATAAGAAACAAAATAGTGTAAAATACGTAAAGAAAAGAAGAAAAATTTAATAAAAATTTTTTTTTTAATTTTTAGAGTAACGGTTATTTCTCGCCTTAGAAACATATATTCAGTTTCACTTAAGGCAAGTAAATCTATGTAAAAAAAACAACAATATCCTTACTTTAATCTTTGCCATATTAAAGAGCCAATTATAAATTATGAATGGTGCGTTTTATTATATAAAACACGAGGAAGAAATCTTTTTTTGAATTTTTAAAGATTTAAAGAGAATTTATATTTCCAATAATAAAAAACTAACATTTAGTTTCTAATTTCCAAAGGTAAATGTTTAGAGCGTACCGCAGTTAAAAATATTTAAATTATATCAATGGTAAATCATCCGAATGTTTTCTTGCGCGTGTTCGTTTTACTTTTCGAAAAGCGATTTTATACTAAATGCCGTTAACACAAAAAAGACCGTTTTCGTCGCGCCTTTACGCTAAACTAGTTAATACGATTAAAAGTTTACACCTCAAAAGTTATTTGCCATAAGCTGGTAATAGGTAGATAACAAAACCATCCCAGACTTCCATTGTTGTGTACATGTACATATGTATGTATGTATATACCAACAAAAACATAAAGAAACTATATTGAGACCCTTATATATAAATGCTATATAACTTTGTAAAGTAATTCTATCAAAAAAAAAAGGTTGAAAGTTCATTTTTAAATCGATAAGCCTATATATGTACATTAAAGCATTGCAAGGTCAGACATACATATGTACATAGCTATTTTAATCTTTGAAAACGTATTATTCTACCGGATTAGATTACCAATATAGAGTTAGCTTATGAATGTATGTAGATATTTTTACAGATTCATATGAAATCGGTAGAAGGTCCGAAGTGGTATAAGTAATTAAAGACTCTGGCGGAAGTTGATAGATTATCAACCTATAAGGAACTTTGGAACTACTCTTTTATCTTTGTTATAGCTCATAAATGGACAATCCCGTTTAAGTTCATATATTATTTTTAATGTACTCGGTACAACTTACATAAAATAATTATATTCTTATATTTTTTAGGTAAAAACGTCGCATTAAAAAAAGTCCGAAATGTGGTCCTAATAGGAACGGTGCATTTTCTGCGCGGTGCACATCAATTCAAAGCAAACTCATATTATATATGTACATACATATGTATGTGCATATATACTTATACTGAAAAAGTATATACATACATACATTATATACATATGTATTTACATTTATACCAACATACATACATACTTACGTTAAGAATTGCTTTTCCTAAACGTTTATAGTTTTACTAAAAACTATCACAGAGTCCAAACTCCAAAATCAGGAACATAAGTGTGATGCATGTTTGTGTGTCCTGCATGTACAATGTACAATATGTACATACATATATTCATTTAAATGCTTCTTGCTATGCAAACTTGCTTTAGCATTGTTTGTTTCGCAATAACTTAGCAAATTCCTAATGTATGTAAAATATTTATCACAGATTACAATTTATCAGTTTAAGGTTTATATTATAATTTGAAGAAGATAGAATCAGCATTATTCCTAAACTATGTTTAAGGCATTTGCATTCACTTATAAAAACAAAAAACCTGCGACCGAATAACACAAAAGCTTAAAGCTTACTGGTGTATACTAATACAATCTATATGAACTATATACATATATATATGTATGTATGTAATTAATGTACGTATGTATGTATGTATGTATGTATGTGTAATGATAGAGAACATACATATGCATATTTTTATATTATTTTTTTGTATACAGACATTGCCATAACTAACAATAAATGTACATATGTATACAAACATACACATTGATGTCCATACATCCGTATCTATGACAAACATAAAATATAACTTCGTGCGGGGCACTTGTATGACAAATGAAAATAAATAATATTGCATATTATGTACAATGTACATATCCTATGTATGCAAGTTATGAATCTTCACAACTATCGACTCAATACCACCACTAATCTGGCTCAAACAAGATATAGAGTGATAAATTTAGGCGCGAGTAGTTGCAGTATAATTACCTTTTAGAATTATCCATTATTTAGCTAAAACATATTTGTTTGTTGGTCACATTCCATGCCTTTTTTAATTATATTATACTTATAATAGGTTGGTATTCCATATTCTTGATTATATTAACAATTGTTTTAAATACATTTAACTTTAAATAAGAATTAGATGAACATATTTTTTTTTTCTTATTGTTCCCATTCACTTTTACTGGTGCCATTTGAACGTAACTCTGCTAAATCACAGTCGTCGACGAATTCAACGTGCGTAAATGGGAAGTGACCGTTTCGACCATTTAGCTCCCCCTCCCATTGGCCATTTATATTTGTTTTGGTGACTTTAATAATATCGCCTATTTCCAATTTCAACGCAGTCTTGTCGTATGCATTTGGCACCCTCGACTGTTTAACACGGGCATATGCTGGTAGTTTGCGCTAAATAATATTTAATGTACTATTAATTTACACACCCAAATGTTGCTTTTTAACACACTTACATTTAGGTCTGTCCTTTTTAGGGAGCTACCTCCAAGCAAATTTCCAGTTAATGGATGATGAGCAGCTGTCGTTGCATTCTCATCCATGTTTTCGTCATACTGCCAGTGAAACAGTTAATACAAATTCGGCAATTATTATTTGCACATACCCGATCTATATAGGGAACAGGTATTTGACCAATTTGACCCGATGAATTTCTCGCCGTCCACCATTGCTCTTCGTCCTTGCGTATTATTGTTAGAACTTCACCACGATGAAAGGGCAAATCGTCTTGGTCCTTTTACATAATACGATTTTTATAATTTTGTATATATATATATTTTTTGTAATAAAATATATTAATACTCACGCTGCCGACAAAATCAAATTTTCCCTGTACTTTTTCTACTCTTTTTAGGGCCGGTCGCCTCAGTGGTGTAGTGTCCAAGTAATGTAGGGTGTAAAAAGTCAATAGTTTTGGTAAGTCATCAAATGATTGATCTCCAATGCGATAAACGTAATGGTCCTGTTGTTGAACTTTGTTAATGATATAGTTGCTAACTTTAGTATCTTCTCTGATAAATAAACAGATTAAAAGGAAAGAATTATATTAATATTTAATTGACTTTGTATTTTTTGCATGGCGCAGCATCACTATAATATATTTGGCTAATATATTGATGTAAACGCTTGATGTATTTACCTTACACACAGTACATAATCGCCCGCTATGGAATTACTGTCACGAACTAAAAAGACCCCACGTTCACGCTCGTTCATCAAGGCTTCTGTGGCGTCCTGCCGGGACATTGGACCAAAATACCAGCTATAAGAACATATTTAATGTATATATAAATAAGTGTTTGTCATATACACAATGCAATTATTTATACCTGTTTTTATCTTCCACATCAAATGCATCCATATCTGTTTTTTATACGATGATTCGGCCTTGCGTTAAATTTTAGATATGCATGAGAACATGTATAATTCAAATATCTCATGCAATAGGGAAATAAATATAATTTTATTAATATAATTATCCGAAATGTTTGCTTTTTATATGTGTATCCAAGTTCCACACTAGAGCTGTAAGAAACATCGGAAACCGTTTCGCGATGTATCGGATGTGGTATCTAATGAACTACCAGCGATATTGCTTTTATATATATCAACAATGTTGATAAGTGATAAGTTGAAAAAAAGCTTAAGAAATTGCACAGTTACAGTAATTATTGTATGCAACCAGATTTTTTTTTATTTTAGATAACTTATTTCTGCGGGTTGGGATAATAGTGTATCAATTTATCGATGTTTTCTATGGTAGTAATACATAAATACCAAATCCGACATTAATACACCATATTCACTTTTTAAAATCTCTTCTATTGAAAGCTAAAAAATACATATCTAGCGTTGCGGGTATTTGCCAATTGAAGAGGTAATCATGGGTATTGTCTTGACAACTGAACTACTGAAAATATCGGCGATATTTTTAGCTGTCATTCGAACGACAGTCACAAGATATGGAAATACCTTTTGTATTATCCTATATAACCTTAAATCATTTAGCATTCCAAAACTTTGATTTATACTAACTCTATAGCCACACTGGCTTTTTAGTCATTCAGTCCATATTTCGAGCGACCTAAAAGTTGCTAAATGGCCAAAAATATCGTACTGAAGTTCTTATGAAAACACCTGTTTTCAGTGGCCGATATTTTCAGTAATTTAGTCTTCCGTCATGGGAATACCCTTAAGGTAGTCAGAAGAATCGCGTTTGTTTATTTTAATAAATAAATTAAAAACATATTCTATTATGTCATGAATATATAAAAGAATACCCTTACTAATAGATACCTTGCAACCAGCTATGGTTTAAACAACCTTAATCGGTGACACCGATTAATTGATCGATTTTTGTGAGTCCGCCATTTTGTGTGATGTGTGTTGCACAGTGAAAAATCCAAGACGTCATAACCTGGATTTGAATGTTGTATACTTACTTAAATAATGTGTAAATCTATTTAAATGTTCATAGAGAAAAACATTTTAAACTAGGGATGGGATGGTTATCAATATAGATGACTATAGCATTGTATTTAAGTGCGTACATTATCTGCAGTGCTAATATATGTGTACACAGCTGAATGCATGCATATGTATGTATGCATGTATTCCGTGTTGGTGCTAAGTATGCAAAAGCATTTACATACTTGATATATTGGAGTATGATGCAAACACATTTTTAATGAATTTATCATTAATATAAAGTGTGTTAAAGTTGTGGAACAAAAGTCATGGACAAGAAAGGTAAGTCGGCTATATATACATATTATATTATAAGACATTTTTTGTATACAAAAATATTTATATATATATATGTATATATATTACACATAATATATAGTACATAGATGTTTATACATAAATGTTTGTTTTTTTATCATAACGTTTATAAAATAGTGTTAATGTATGGAACAGCGAAGTAGGCATTTGAAAGTAATGCAAAAATGTTTTTAAAGTGAAAGTGAAGATACCTTTTAAAGATGAAACTAAGTGTATGTTATGTTAATAGACAGATTTGTATATATGTACATATGTATGTAAAACATGTTTTTGTCCACTGAACCTAAAGTATTTGTTACTTAATCTTTATTACTATTTGATATAATCATAATAACATCTCTATATACATATGTATATTTATTTCATAACAACCAACATGTTTTTATTTGCAAATATAATTAATGTTGTTTAAAAAACTATAAATATAAATATCTCAAAGTATTTCCTATACGATGGAAAAACTGTCTAAACTAAAAAAATATCGGTTATAAATTTAGCCATTCGGGGAACTACCCAAAAACGTCACCCGTCAAACTTTCAACAAAGACCAAGTTGCTGGACATGAATATATGTACCTATCGTATTCTTATATATATTCTTTAATAATTTTAAACAACTGGATATTTCATTTAGCAATCCAAATCGTTTACTTTTATGAAGTTTTAAGCACCGGCTTTTCAGTAATTTAGCCTATATTATCAGCGACCTCGGCGATTCTGAATAACTGAAAATATTGAAAGAGTTTTTTGTTTGGAACAGCTATTTTTAACTGCCGAAATATTCAGGTATTCAGTCGTATAAGGAAAACATTCTGCGTATTCCCTTGTTGAATATATCGGCGATGTATCGCAATAGTTAGCCAATACTTCCAGCCGTAACGGGAACGACCCAAAAACTCAGCCGCAAACATGTGTAGAACTTTTGTATTATCCCATAGAATCTTAAATTATTTTAAACTTCAGGACCTTTCACTTAGCAGTCCAAAATTTTAATATTTAACCACTCTGGCTTTTCCGTCAATTAAGCCATATTTTTAGTGACCCTAAATGACTAAAAAATATCGCATAAGCAGTTTGTATGCAAAAAGTTGTTTTCAGTGGCCGATATTTTCAGTAATTCAGTCGTAAAGGGAATACCCAGACCGTATGTTAAGGGCCAATATATTGATGTTTAAACATAGATACATCGAATTCTGTATTTTTGCTTACAGTATGTGTTAGAATACCTTTCGTGAGTTGTAGTACTATGCTACTGAGATTTAATCCATTGAACATTTTTACTCATATATAGCTGATCGTTTATAAAGAGTTTTCGTGTATTAATATAATATTTTCTGCAATTACTTATCAGGTGCTTTTCCTAACCGTAACGTCAACTTAATCGAAGGATCCATCCACTTGCAAGATCTATTTAGTAAGTAGTCATTAAATAGATGGACCAATAACATTATGCTATCATGTCTCAAACGGACCTAAGCTTTCTAATTAATGTGAAAAAGCGTGGTTCTTTGCAATATGGTAATTATATTTTAAATTTAATGTTATTATTTATCAAGAAATGTTAAACTATGTCTTATCTTTAACATATTAATTTTTATTTTAGGCCCGCCAAAAAAACTAAGCAATGAATTTACACAAGAAATAATAAAAGTGAAAGAAATACACGGAATATCACTCCTTTCGACAGTATTAAATAACAATAAATATCGATTAAATACAGATAAATATACATTAAATACTTATATTGTGTTACGAAAAATGCTTTGCCATCAAGCTGCCCTCTTACTATTACTGCTTTCAATCGTCACTTGCCAAATTTCTTTAACACAATCCTTATTATTGGATGACATAAACAATAATAAAACTATATCACAAGCTAAATCGAATAGCGGACAAGGTAGAATCAACAATAGTACTGGGGGCAGCAATAATATGATATCTGCTGGTAACTCCAATTCTCCAATTGGAGAAAAAGATTATTTGGAAAAGCTAAATAATTTTGAACGTAGTGTTGCGGCCGTTTTGATAAAAGTGGCCTATGGAACAACCTCAACAACTAAACGAAGTATACCAGACTCCAGTTATTCATTGGGTTTAACAACAGTTGCGACACCATTTCTCACAACGCAAAGGTAAGTAGGAAAAAAATTTATAATATGCACATATATATATAATTTTTGGATGATTGTTCGTTTTCAAGATAATTACAAAACGCTTTCGCACGCGACCGTACAAAATGCACTTTTTCAGACAAACACTGATTTCTCCAAAACGTGATAAACGATTTTAGTAAAATTTTTTTAATGTATTATGCATAGATTAAACTTTTAATTTTAATTTTATTTATTTCATTTTATTTATTAACTATTATTATTTTTTAGGTAAATTAGAAAAACAAGTATTTTATATCTACTCTTGCATTGTTCGAGTGATGTCAGAAAGAAAAAGACAAAGCTAAATGCCTGTTTTAAAAGTTATCATCAAAACAAAACGACCTTTTTTATTGTGATTCACCAATTAAAAGAATTGGTTTTTCTCACATTTTCGTTTAAGGGGGGATATACATGTAAACCAAAATTTTTTGGGCAAATTTTTTTTTGGGTTTAAAAAATAGTTTATTATTTAAAGAATATAGTGTGTAAGTTTCATTATCGAATTCCAACTCTAAGTGCCTCAAATCAAGTATGCACGCAAGGTTCGCAAGTGTTAACGTGTTAACTCATCAAAAACTTTAAACGTCTTTTTCTCAGCTTCTAATTTTTGCATTTCTACCTATGCTCTGGACACGATTCACAAAAAACTATGTAACATATCGGAGTGAATCAAAAATTATTATGATCAGCATGAAATTTTCTTCTATTTGAACCTACATGGTTGTTATAAAACTGAGTATTAATATTTTTTAAGAGGGTGGGAAGTGAAAACTGATCACCTGAAAATGGCATTTTTTCCTTCAAATCAAAATTTATTTTTTTTGTCTTGATTTCTTTTTGGTTTTTTAGGTTCAAATAGAAGATAAAGGTGTAATGAATACAAAAAAATTTAGTTTACGGATTTCGGACAGGAATTACGAGCTCTATCGTGTCCATAGCACGGCAACTCAAAGCTCGAGGCGCTACGGCATATGTTCCATAAGTCCGCCATTTTGTAAAATATTGTTTATAACTAATTTTTTTCATCTCTGATTCTACTTTTAACTATATCCAAAGTTTCACGACGATTGCTTGACTATTTCTTATAAAAAAAAATTCACGAAAAATGGCCAAATTTTGACCGCTTACATGTATATCCCCCCTTAAGGGTCCATTCTGGTTAGTTGGGTCAAAAAATAGGCAATCTTTAGGACCTTTTTTTGACAAAGGAAAAGACAGAAAGTTCAAACTTTGCATGTTTATTTCTCATAGTTTAGAGATGATTTAGCACAAATTTTCAAAATTTTTAGAGCATGTCCTGAAGCAGGACACAGGACGACGTAAGCCTCTGCAAAAAAAGGTACCCCTCTGGCGACCGTCCTGCAGGACGTAAAAATCGACTCAAACCAAAAATTCAAAGATTCAAAATTACTTTTTCGTTTTTCGTGAAAATTTTCTTCACTTTTTTGTTAATAATAAATCCAATGTATATGCTATCAATATAATTGTAGTCTATTCCATGGACAGCTTCATTACGCGCATTTAAAAAAAAAAATATTAAGATTCGTTAAAAATTGACTGAGATAGGACGGTCGCCAGCTCGAAAAACGTAGTTTTCCAGAAAACGCGTTTAAAGTTTTATGTTTGCTCTGTAGCTGCTTTGAGTCGGCCGGTTTGGAGGCTCATAACTTTTAAACTATTACGTATTTCGATTTGTTCTTTTAGTATGATGTTCTATACACTTAAAATATCGAAAAATGCAAAAAAAAAATTCAATTTTTTTTTCAACTAACCAGAATGGACCCTTAAATATTTTGAACAATTTTAGAGAAGTTTTATTGTTTTGGCCGCGAGTATTGTTTCTGGAGAGTTACCCATGTATATTAAATATTAAGGGGGGACATCTGAGTAACTGGCAAAAAAAAAACCCATTTTCTAGAATTTTTGTTGGCCAAATGAAAAAGCCAATCGAAAAATCTTAAAGTAGGTTTGATAATGTTAGTTGTGAACTACAAAATACCTAACGTCCTTAATTTTTGATCTAACACAAAAAATCAAATTTTGTTAGTTTCTGTATCTCAACCGCTATCGACACACGTAGGATTTTTTCGATATTTTGACTTTTAGCAAAATGGTGAGTGATTAAATAAAATGTTCAATTTTCATCAAAAAAAGTCACAAAATTGTTGATAAAAAAAAGTAAGCAAAAAAAAAAAAAAAAAAAAATCCTACGTGTGTCGATAGCCATAGGTATTTTGGATATACTGTAAAAATTTCAGATCGATCGGTTAAGATTTGTTCGAGTTATGTTTTCGGCCAACTCAAAAAAAGTGGTTTTGAAATAAAACGCGTTTAAAGTTTTAAGATCGTATATATTTACATAAGAGGCATCGCCGCAGAATGGAAAATTTCGACACTTAGACACATTTGCCGGACTCTATCTTTTGGTATGTTATTTTTAAGACACTAAAGAATTTTTTAAGCAAAAAAAAAAAAAATTTCGATTTTTAAAAAAAGTTACTCAGATGTCCCCCCTTAAGGGGGTGGTAAGGTTAATTCGGTGCAAAAAAGGCCACTTTTCAAAAAATTATTGTGGCGGAACGGCTAAAGTTAGCTTAATGAATTAAATACCATATAATAACACAACATTTGAATAATTTTTTAAAAATTTTGTATTGAAAAATATTTAGACGTAGACAAGTTATAGGGAATCTCCCGAGTCGCCTCCAAAAAATGTTGTTTTGCGGTGTACATCCTAACAGTCCACAGGATCATCCGATCTAAAAAAATTATACCTCATTCGTTAAAGGATAAGTGTCCCGAGGTATTCAGGAAGCGTTTTTTTTTTTTTTTAGTTTTTTTGTGATTTTTTTAGGAAATTTGAAAGTCAAAAACCCGATTTTTGACTAAAAAAAAACGTTATTTCTTAATTTAAAAATATATGAAAATTAAAAATTAAAAAAAAGCCGACGTGAATACCTGAGGAATTAGTTAAAGAATGTGTGTGCCAAAATTCAAATCGATCGGTCCAGTAGTTTTTCTGTAATCGTGTACACCGATTTGAAAAATTGAATTTTTCAGGAGAGCGCTTTAAACTTTGTGATTCTCATACATTTAACACCAACCGACCTTCGTTCAACTCCGCATAACTTCGTCAATTTTACTATGATCGATGTAAAACTTGGACACAATATTCTTAAGAATATTATATATATTATGCCTTAAAAATAAAAAAAAAAAAAAAAATTACGAAAAAAAAAAATTAAATACCTTACCCCCCCCTTAATAATATGCACATATATGTAATATTATAACATTTTTATAGAAAATATGTTATATAAAAAATAGATTTTATATTTTTTTAAAGCATTTGTTGAAAGTATCTTAACAAAACACCACATAAATATATATATTATTTTTTGTTATAAATATGTTTTTTTTGCGATATATCCAACCACTTATTCAACCCCACAGAAATAACAAATTTTGTCCCCTCCCTTTTCCCTAAAATTACACTAATATGGATCGCGAGCCACATCGGCCTACACCCGCAATCTACTCATATAAATACAAAGCTGTCAACAGACAACAACTAATAATAAATAACAGACTACGCTTAGGACACAGCCAAAATCACAATCGCTCATTACCTGGATAGATCCCTACAAACCCATGTACATACGTTCTGCAAAAATGCCATTATTGACACCAAACATACTTGAAGTGTTAAAATAATGTGTATCTAAAAAAGACATTAAATCTAAATAAAACACTGGCTTAAAATAAAAATTTGAATGCACTTTTGTTTAAAATTGTTCCATTAATATATATAAAAAAAAATTGACGATTCGACAAACATTTGAAGAAATCCCAGGCAAAAAAAGTTTGAAGTGCATGAATATTCAGAGTGCGGCATTTTTGTTGGCACTGGGTGTATATTAATGGACTGTACAGTACTTTTCCAACCCAGCACCATATCCTTTAGCCACGAAAAACCAATCCAACTCTTAGCCAATCCAACAAAAAAAGGAAAAAAAGTTCTCCCATTCCTCCACATCAAATATCTGTACAGTAAAAATATATACTTACTTTTTTTCCATCCGAAAACTCAATTTTTGTTATACATGCCATATGTAGGATTAATAATCATGTTATATTTATATTTTTAGGTATCCTTTATCAATACATCATCAACAACCAGGTGTCAACCACCAAAAGAACTATGAGTTGGATTTAGAAAGAGATCATGCTTTGCCCACTTCAGCCCCTAATGCGGATATCTTGAAGAGTAATAATAATCCAACATATCCAAATCCAAATCGTCATTCGTCACATACACAACATGAAAGGGATCGCCATAGACAGCACTACAATTCAACGCCAAATCCAGCCAGTATGTTATTATTATTATTAAAAATAATTTTAATAATTAAAATCTAAATTAATTTCAAGTTCCCAACCTCTTCAACAAAAAAGCAAACAACGGCCTTGCTCATTCGCCAACCATACCAATGTATCCAGGGGATCACTTACCATCTTACTCGCCGCCATCGCGATCCTTTTTCACGCCTCCGCTGCCTCCGGAATACCAAAATCCCTTCGCTGATAAACCCACTCTAAGAGGGACAAATAATGAGGGTTTAATTGGTATCAATAGGAGGCCCATCCCACCGCCCAGCCTAATGCCCAGTCAGGATCGGATACCCATAAGACCACCGGAATTGGGAGGTAACAACGACCCTAATCCCATCCTGAGTTTAGATACAAATAATCCTTCAATAGAGCCGAGTAGCTCGCATAATATCGATGACGCTGTTACCACAATGGATAGGAAAAAAGCCTTGAATACGCCAGCGCGTCCCCACGAGGAGTATTTGAATGAAAAAAAGTCAGCTAGCACTGCGAAAAATTCCCAAGAACAGGATCAGATAGGTGACCATGATCCCATAATTAAGAAAAGTCAGGAAGTCTTGCCCAATATACGTAGGATTCTGGGCTCCAACGGTAAAAATGGTGATATTCCAGCTGTTCTTCTAAAGCAAGTGACTCAAAGGCCTAATATCATAAGCATACGAAATCCGCCTTCATCACCTATAGTTTTGATAGAGAAACAGGAAAAGGGAACAAATCAAGAGGAAAATATAGCAGATGGCTCTGCTTCGGTGTTAAGTTCTAATATAAATCAAAGTAAAATGGATTATTATGATAATGCCAATCAAAGTCAGACCACACCATCGGCTGCGGCCGCAATTGGTGATGTTATCTCTGCCACATCGTCCTTGTCCTATGCCACTACCAATTCCGTTGCCAAGACCACAGTGGGTAAAGAACTCGGGGCCATGCCGAATCTGGGCGAACGTGAGAAGGCCCACACTACGTGGTCTTGGGCCTGGAATATACACATTTATCTCTCCGTTGTACTTTTCACCATTCTTTCAGTTTATTCCCTGTACAAACTCTTAACTTTTAACAAGTTGACACACTTGTTTGCCCAGTCCTACTTCATTTGCATACATTTTATATTGATTTTAATCTGCGCCATGCGTATATTTTTTCTATGCTTTGATGCCTATAATGTGCACGGGTCATTTAATATTTTTGCAGCGGAGTTGCTGTTAAACCTTCCCTCTACATTCCTTACTGTAGCCTTTTCGGTTTTAATTTTATTTTTATTTCTTAAGTCACTAAATCACAAAAATAATCGCTATTCAGCTTTGATAAGACCTCTGACAGTAGTTGTGGGCTGTGGCGTGCACGTGGTTCTTTGTGTAACTCTGCATTATGTTGAGTCTTATACATTAAAGAATCATTTACTATATTTTCAACAGCAACAGCAACAGCTATACTTTCGCAGACAGTTGCATTTTCAGGGAGGAGGCGGTGCAAGCTTGACGCCGCCTTCATCGGCTGCTATTCTACCTCCGCCACCAAGGGTGTTGACTCTGATTTGTCAAATTATTTACATATTTATTTGCTTGAGCTTGGGTCTACTCTACTTATATCTATATCGAATTTTAAAGAGGATTTTGCGTAGTAAATCACAGAATTATATTCATGGCTATCAGAACTTGTCGTATGCCATACACATTACCATTGCCACAGCTTTGCTCTTCGTCTTAATGGCTGTCCTGCAGATATTTGGCGCCATATGTATTGCCACCTCTACGCGGCAAATGAATATCATAGATGTCGATTGGTTACAATGGGGTTATCAGTTTTCCCTACGATTAATCGAAATTGCCATTATAACGTTGATTACATGGGTAACGGGCCTAAAGACTAGTCTCGGTGGTAATGATTCAGTAACAAATAATACTGGAAATGTGGGCACGAATGATGTACGTATGGTGAGTTGTGCATCAACGAGAGACAAACATGTTGTTGGCAACGTTGCAGGAGTTTCAAATTTTTTCTTACCCTGCACTTCGAGCTCGAGTCAAGAGGTCTTTGATACCGATTATCCCGCCATATGCAATGCTAATACGAATCTACACACGTACACCATGCGAACGGGGAAATTAATCTACGATGACAGTTATGCCTTGAATCCCATGGGTGCTGCGGGCTCTTCGTCCACTAATCCAGGTAACAATGGACGTTCTTTTGAGTATCAACTGCAGGAGCCCATGTATCAAAGGCCCTACGATACAGGCTCTATGAACAGTCAAAATCTATCGGAATATCATCATGGTCATGTTCAAGTCCAGAACTATCATCATAAGCCCCATACTATGCGTTATACGAATGATTCGGTAACAGATCACTACGAAAATCCCAATTTTAATTTAAAAAATCCAGAGAGTTTAGAAAGAAATACTGCGGAAACTTGCTATTCAGAACCCTTGGAGCATGAAAATAATAAAAGATTTGAGTTCAATATATTCGAGAGGCCGGTTTATAAGGAAAAGACTTTGAATTCTAAGGATGCAAATAATATTGAAAGCTTTCAGGATCATAAGATGGGAAATGGGAGAAAATTAAATGGCGGAACACTTGAACGTAACTATTTTGATAATACAAATCAGACTCATCATACTGAAAGACGTAGCTCAAACTCAACAAGTAACTCTTGTTCCTCTTCCAATGGAGGTAATGCTCGCTATCCCAGCTATAACTCCTATGAGCGGTGTTTCTTTACGGGCGTAAGAAAAAGTGGAACCTTAAGTCAAATTGGAGTTCACTCAGAACGTACCTTGGAACCATCAATGGTATTGGGGACCCATCATCGCATGATGACAAATGGGGCTCAAACCTTGGGAGATAGAGCAGCTCATTATTACCAGAGAGGAGGGGCAGTCAAAGGACGTAACACCCATCTCAGATCTGGTACTAATTCTGATCTAATAAAAAGTATACCCATTAGGGAGCGTCAGCTACCCTATGATCATCACAATTCCGATGAGGAAGACGATGATGAAGAAGAGGATGATATAATATCTGGCAATAATGTCGAGTGTACAAACTTGATTAACAATGAAGGCATCACGACGGTGACAAATGGAGAGGATTGTACTACAAATTCCACAATTAATGATAAATCCATGATAACAATTACTTCTTCAGGAGTTAAGAATAATACTAACGATCCATTATTGAATTCCAATAAAAATGGTAATAAACTTCGTACTGCATCATCAGTTTCGGTAGCTTCTGCTTCATCCAATTCCTGTACGACAACATCAAGTGCTTCGGATAGTATGCTTGTGGCAGATCAGGGGTTCTTACGATTTCGTTCCGCCGAAGATCAGCATAATATAACCTCCAATGGGTCTTCGTCCCAAGTGGTGGTAGACCCCTCTTCCGCCTCTCTTTCTTTTCGTCATCAAGGTTGCAGTGCGACTGAGAATGGCATCGATTGCTAAAAGATAAATCACTATATATATTGCATCCAAAATATAGCTTAGCTCTTTTGCAAAAATTTTCTTGCAGATTTTAAAATGAATTGAAAGATTAATACGGGTAATATATATATTTTACCGTTGCGATAAATCGATTTTTTAAAAATATTTTTGCAATATAATCGAACAAAGCGACGAATTAAATACAATTTTTTCAGTAATTGTTACTTCCATGTTAAATACATATGAGCGCAATTCTCGATGTATCAATTTTAAACTATATATCCCTAAAAAGAATGTTACAAGAATACTACAAGAATGCTATGCTCGACAAAAGAAGGGAATTTTTAACAAATAATTTGCACTATGACATTTTTAATTGTTTTCAAATCTGCGGAAATATTTGTAATAGCAATTAACTATATTTAATGGCAGCTAGTTTTCATGTCCCCAATTTATGCCAATACAAAATAGTAGTTAAAAATCACCACTATATTTCTAACTATCTTCAAACTTGTGATATACAGATATAAAAAATATAAAAACTAGCGAGGGAAGTCGAAAAAGAAAGAATATTACAATTCATATTAGAAACAACTATCAGTACATATTTAAATCATTTTTAACATTATCATCACACCATTAGCATTAAATTAGGCAAGTGTATTTATTTTTAAGCAAGATTAATATTCAGAATAGTCCTCTCAAAGTTCAGTTCATGCATTATACAGTTGTTTTTTTTTTATACTTGGGTGTCAAAATATATGTATATATAGATGCTGTATAGCTTAGGTGCGAATGTCATTATTGCATTGTTGTACGTTTAATAAATCGATATTTGGTTTAATATAACAGAAAAGTATTTTTCTGTTATTTTTTTTTAATAATATTGCTATTCGATATTTTAAATTTTGATATCAACTTTTACAATATTGAGCGCGATATTATTATTAAAAAGTATTTTTCCGATATTTTGTATAATATCGACAACGTAAAATGCGAAATTTCGATATTTCAATCTTACGATATGGAGCGCGATTATTTTATCTATATATATATCCGACCCTTTGATTCTATATATACCTACCATTCAAACATCCATTTATTACCTGAAAAATGTGTATATAAAAAACTTTAGAAGTACTATGTTTAATATGTTTAATTTTAATATTATAATAAAAACACTTACTTTCGTTGTATATATTCAATTATATCTTTAATGTTCTCCTTATCTTATATAAATCAACGAAAAAAGCAACGTTTTTAGAAAACACGACATGTAAATTAACAGAGCCATTTTAAGTTATTTCGCTATATTTGAAATCAAAATACAATAATTAATTAATTAAATTAAATGACAAACAGATGATAAACAACTGAATTAAATTTTATGACCAAACTTTTATAATGCACATTGCGTTTTTAGTATAAGCATACAAAGAAACAACTCACACAAAAATTGTCAACTACAAAAATTAACAAAAAAGACCCGATATAATAACAATAAAATATTCGATTTTTGTACAATGATTCGAAATATTATTCGAATTTATTAACAGAAAGGCTTTTAAGAATATAATTTATGAAACTCTAGCCTGTTAGAAAATAATAAACACGTTTATGGCACAAATAGTACTGATTAGTTAAGGGCTTTTTGCATTTTCTATTGTTAAAAACAAAAAATGATTTAATAAAGAAAACTACTTAATACTGATATAAAATAAGAATTTAAAGAATTACTCACTAAGGTTAATAGTTGGTAATCTCTTTCTATGCAGCAATCTGAAAAACGCCATGAAAAAGGAATATATATTTCGGAAATGCCACAGAAATTGATTGTACTATAGGTATAGAAATTCATTCAAAAGGTATTCAAAAATGAGTTCTGAACTTTAATTTTTTATTTAAATGAGATTTTGAGCCTGCTTAACGATTTCTGTGGCCCTCGTGTATATTTATATAATAAATAATATAATAAATATATATTGTTATTATATGTATATATATATATATATATATATATATATACTATCGCATGAAAAAAGAACGAATTGAAACCAGAAATTTTTCCGTATTAGACACGTATTTATATCCCTTACTTTATACATATTAATTGACAAAGAATCAACCTATAATGCGTATTCTTGAATGTAATTAAATTTAAATTATAATAAATCTTAGCCAAGCGACAAAATAAATATATATAATAAATACCATTAATATTTTTGTATATCTTTTGGGATTTTTTTTTTTGCAAAATTTTCAGAACCTAAATAGTTCTTTTTATGGTAAGTGTACATCAAACAAAAATATCTTCCATTATAGCGGCAAATACACGTGAATTGGATACCAAAACTAAAATGGGATATAAAATTGTTGTGATAAATAATTTTAGAACTTATTCAAACAACAACAACCCATTACAAGGCTAAAGGGTATTACTACTATTTATCATAAGAGAATCTCCAATTACTCGTCATTTAATTCAATAGATGACGAGAAATTTAAGAATCTCTAGTGAAAAACTTTCATATAACTAAAGTCAAATTTAGATACACAATAGATGGAAAACAAAATGAGAAATTTCTGAGTGCCAAAACCTTATGGCTTATATCTACAACGAATCGTGGAAGGCAGATGGATTTTTGTGGTACGACTCTATAATCGACTGAAAAGCCAGTATGTCTCTTTTTAACACCCTTGCAGGGTATTACAATTTTAGTCAAAGTTTACTATGCAGTAAAGGAGGGATTCCCACCCTTTAAAGTATATATATTCTTGATCGGCATCAAAAGCCAAGTCGACCTAACGATGTGTGTTTGCCCTTCCCTCGGTCTTTCCTTTTGTCCGTCTGTCAGTTTTTGTGCAAACTAGTCCCTCAGTTGTAAAGCTATCTAATACTGTTTTCCCACACAGCGCATTTGTGAGGAACGGTTGGGATTTTAAAAAAAAAGTGAAACTCGTGTTCCCACAGAGCTGCGTCAAAGTGCATCTGCATCCGAACAGCTGATCGATCAGCTGTGGCTCATGAAAACTTAAACAAAGGCTGTCGAATTGGCTGTTGCAAATTTGAAATGGAGCATTTACCAACTATTTTGGCTGTTGTACAACAGCAAAAGCGCAGATTGCGTCAAATTTTATCCGCACTAACTTAAAATGAATTAGATGACGAGGAATTTGAGTTTCTTTAATGATTTTTCTCTAACAAAGAGCAAATTCCCCGAAGAGTGTCTATAGGTGGTATAGGCTTCCGAAATCTATAATTAAAGAAGTAGGCGTTTTATATTAAATAGTAACAATTGGGGACACTTTGGGGCAAGAATATACAAAAAAAAAAAAAAAAAAACGCCAACAACTATTTCATTTGTTCCTCGCCAAGTTTGTTTACATTTTCGTAGTGTTGGTCAAATTGAGAAAAGAAAAAAAAAGAAACGGACGGTGGATGCGATTTGACGGTGTGTGGGAAGACCGTTGAACAAACGGTCCATAAGGTTTTGCCATTCCGAATTTTCTCAAATGGACCGGCATCAAGCATGCCCAAAATGGTAGGTAGGTATAAGTGGTGAGGCAGCCCTGGCCGCCTCCAATTAGAGCTGAGCTCCGTTTTGATCCACACCTTCGATTTGTTGTTGTCTGCGCCCTACTTAGTACCAGCCCGTGTCATTCAGGTAAGCTAGGATGGCCGCTACTGGCTGCCTTCCAACTTCCCCTAGTGACTCGAGTTGGTGTGCTCCGAAGTGTCGGGCTCTTTGTTTGTTGAGTGCCGGGCAGTGGCACAGCAGATGCTCTGGTGTCTCCTGCTCGCTTGGTTCCTTGCAGCTTCTGCATTGTGGGTTGTAGGGTAGACCCATCTTACAGGCTTGCGTGCCTATTGGCCAGTGGCCAGTGATAGTTGCCGTTACCCTCCTGATGTCCTTTTTGCTCTTGGAGATCAGTTCTGCGGTTCGCTTCCTATTGAGTCCTGGCCAGCATAGTTTCGATCTTCTGTGCTCTGCCTTCGTCGACCATTCCTTGCTGGCTAATTGTTTAAAATGGTCATGAATTTCCGTCTGGACTGAGTTCAGGGAGGTCTGGACGTCTGTTGTTGCTGAGTGTTCTTCTGACCCTTTTCTGGCCAGCTCGTTGGCTTTCTCGTTTCCGTCTATGTCATTGTGTCCGGGTATCCAGGCTATTTGTACCGTTATCTTCTGCAAGTCTGTTTAGTGCCCCTTTACATTTGGCCACTAGTTTTGAAGTCGTCCGAGCTTGTGCGAGGGATTTGATCGCCGCCTGGCTATCTGAGTATATCCTCACGTTGGTATTCTGAAGGCCTCGGTCTAGCGAAAGTTCGGCAGCTTTCAGTATCGCGAGAACCTCCGCCTGGAGAACCGTCGCTGACTCTGGGAGGTGGAAGTATTCCTCCACCTTCCAGCTTTCGGCGTAGATTCCGGACCCTACTCCGCTGCTCATCTTTGAGCCGTCGGTGTAGAGTGAGACTTCATCCGGTTCGGTTACTCTCCCTCTCTTCCAGTCTTCCCTTGTAGGGTATATAGTGGTGTATGTGTTACCGAATCGCAGTTCGGTTGTCATGTAGTCTGTGTCTACTGTCGTCCGATAGTTTATCTCGTTCAGAATCCTGCAGTGTCCGGTGTGGTAGTCTTTCCAGCTTTGACTAGCCTTAAGTCGTACCGCACCTTGTGCTGCAGTGTTCCTGATGAAATGCTCTATCGGTATTATGTTCAGGATGGCGTTGAGCGCCGCCGCGGGGCATGATCTCAGTGCTCCCGTGGCTCCTGCGCATGCCGATCTCTGTATCCTTGTTAGTTTCTGGACGTACTAGTGCTCCGTATGTGAGTATGGGTCTTACCACCGCTGTGTAAAGCCATATTATTATCCTGGGGTGGATGCCCCAGTTCTTTCCGAACATCTTCCTGCAGGAATAGAATGCTATGCTTGCTTTCTTGACACTCTCGTTGATGTTTTGTTTCCATGACAGTTTCGCATCCAGTATCACTCCCAGATACTTTGCCTGCTGTGATATCTCTAGTTCTATGCCATCTATCTTTGGCTTTGTGAAGCTGGGGACCTTAGTTCTATTAGTGAAGAGCATTAGTTCCGTTTTACTTGGATTTATGCCCAATCCGCAGGCTTTTGCCCATGCATTGAGTTTCGTGAGTGCCCTTGTCATTAGTTCGCTGATGACGTCGGGGAATGGTCCTGAAGTGAGCTCTGTGGGAACACGAGTTTCACTTTTTTTTTTAAATCCCAACCGTTCCACACAAATGCGCTGAGTGGGAAGACAGTTTTAAAGATAGTCTTCTGACTATACGACGACTATTGTATATAGCTGCCATAGGAACGTTTGGTACATATAAATATAATTATAAATCTGAAATGTAAAACTGTAAACAAAATATTTAAAAGGTTAGTTTATAAAAGTTTACATTGTTTGTTTATTTTTTCAGCATTTATAATTTATATTACATTAGATATTTCAGATAATAAAACATACGTACTAACATAAGATAAATTTGATTTCGAAAAGTTCCAAGCGAAATTGCTATATATTTTGCACGGGAACCAGTGTCACAAAAAAGTTTGCAGAGCTCTCCCTTTTTTTAGTTTTGGCAATCTTTAGATGGTAACCCATGCTGTCTCGTAGTGATTTCCATGCATTTTTACAATCCCTTACTATAAATAAAGTCGATTTTGGTAATGAAATTGATATATTATTAATTACTTACCGTCTTTTTGCAAATCCTTGGCGATTGAATTGCCGGCATTGTCTTAAGTTTAAATATTCTATGTTTGTTAAAGCCCAAAGGCTCCGCCTTAACTGCACTTATTAACTCGACTGTATCCTAGTGACGAGAGAACGAAATTGCGCTGTCACAATATTGATAGCACAATCGCTATTAATTTTCTTCGGTAACCAGTGTGTCCAAAGAAATTAAGGAAAAGCCCTGAAACGTCAAGAAAAGGGTAATACAGCTGTTTGTAAACAAATTTTATAAGTGCAATAGTGCAATCAAGATGAATTCGAAGCCACCCCTCGCGGGCAGAAAATTTTTCGATCCTAGAATTATTTTTTTCCCAACTTTTTCTCCATAATGCCTCTAAGAATATTTGAAATTAATTATTGTGACAGCACAATTATGTCAGTACCCGCAAAAACGACGAGGGAAAACAATTCCCTTTTTCGCAGCTTTTTTTAGTTTTATTTTGGTTTGGTCGCTGTCACGCTGTCAGTATTAGTACTAACATAAGTTACATTTTCTGAAAGCAGTCAAACTCTATATAAAAAAAAATTAAGCGACGAGAGAGAATAGAACGTTCTGACATTTCACTTTCGCGGGTACTAAGATTAGATAAATTTCCGTTGCCAGATCAAAAAACTAAACAGCTGAGATTTTGAAGCGAAATAAATTAATTTATATCTTTCGAAAGCTGAAATATGGTGCGAAAGTATAAGGAAAACAACTTTCTAGAGTATGACGCATTTCTTCTTGCGGGGATAAGAGCTCAAAGGCTCAAAAAATATATTAAAACAAGAAAGGAAGCTAACTTCGGCACGCCGAAGTTTGTATACCCTTGCAGATTGGTTTCGATGTTTATATTATAGATTTAAATGGTGAAAACACTCACAAAACAGAGTTTCATTACATTTTACCTATACTTATTATGTTTACAGTTTGACAGTTACAGTTTTACATTCCCAGTTTTACATTTTCTCTACATCTACCGATCGGTTCCTATGGCAGCTATATCATATAGTCGTCCGATTATCATAAAATTTTTACCAAAATTCTGAAATAATATAAAATGGCTATATCTAAAAAATGGTGCAAAAATGTTGAAAAACAGCCAAGTTATAATTTTTTTTCTACAAATATATCGAACATTTGTATGGCAGCTATATGATATAGTCGTCCGATCCGGCCCGTTCCGACATATATAGCAGTGAGAGCATATAGAAGACTATATGCAAAGTTTCATTCGGATAGCTTTAAAACTGAGGGACTAGTTTGCGTAGAAACAGACAGACAGACAGACAGACAGACAGACAGACAGACGGACAGACGGACAGACAGACAGACGGACAGACGGACAGACGGACATGGCTAGATCGACTCGGCTGTTGATGCTGATCAAGAATATATATACTTTATAGGGTCGGAAACGTCTCCTTCACTGCGTTGCAAACTTCTGACTGAAATTATAATACCCTGCAA